ACAACGCAGTAATGGTCGGGATGTAAGCATGAACAGTCTGAGTCATGTACATAACAGCTATGTCCGAACTCGACGAAACCCGCTCAATAACAGGTGCTTTCACCTTGGTTCTGGTTGAATCATTTCAGGAGGTCGAAATAGACTTCAGGTTGGAGTTGAGGTGCACAAATTTTCTGCATTCAAGAAAAATACATAAGATTACACATTGTATGAGCAAGTTGCAATTCTGCGCGCTGCCACCCAAAGAAAGTGGTTTCTTTTTAAAGCTGAGTGAGTACTATCACTTCTTGTGCATTCATTCTGGTTCTATTACTTTAAACGAATTTGAATACCTCAAATGCAATTGCCATTCGCAGCAGTGTAGCTTCTGACCATGGCCTCCCAATCAGCTGGAGCCCTATTGGCAACCCTTTGTCATCATACCCTACCTACACACCGATGCCAAATTTCGTTGTCATTATTCATATACGAAGGAGGGCGCAGATTCTTGCTTGTTTCGGTGCCAGGGTGAAATAAATGCCTCAATGTGATGCTGAGCTTAGCAATGCCACAGCCATGTGAATCCAACATTATTTCTGAAATGCATGATTTTGGGCAAGAAACGTACCGGTATAGAAATTGCTGGCAGACCTAAGATTTCCAGCGATTATAAAGCGCATCAACTTGCCTGCAAACACACCACCACAACCTGAGCCAGCAATCCAACAATACTCTCGAGAGCAGATAACTTCTGTGTGTTGTCGGCAAAAAGGGTGAAAGTTCATAGTTTCCAATATCCAATTTACCTCCATTTTGGTAGTCAAGCTCCCCGTATTTCTCCGCAACTTCCCTGACTGGTGACGCTGTACACCTGAACAGGACATGATCAGGATTAAGTCAGTGACTGGAACTTAATCAAATTCTACACATATAAGTCACATTTCACGGCAACAGTTGTGTGGCATCTCAGAATAGCTATCCATTTCTAGGATGTAATTGTCTGCTTACTAAATCTAAATTGATAGACTTACGCAGTGGTCGGAGTGACAATAAAATCTGCCTTCTCGAAGATATCCATATGGTGTTGCATGCAACGAGACCTGGACGGAGTGAATCGGCACAAAAAGGTTTCACTCGGATTATTTTCAAATTCTTGAAAATTCTGCACAGGCTGAGAAATGTATACTTGATGATGGCGGTCAAAATGATTGATAACTGACAGATCTGGATGCAATGTTAATAATTCCTTATCGTGCAGACTATTCTAGCAATCTCTGGGTTTTGAGCACAGAACGATTTTTTGCCATTAACCAATGCACACCTTATACGTGGTGCTGTGACATACTCTCGGTTGTTGAAACACTGAAAAATTGTAATTGTAGACCGCACGTCTCCCCCTGATACCTTTTGACCTCTGTCAGCAACACAATTTCATAATGCCAGTTCTCAGGCGTATTGTGTGGAGCCAAGGGAGCCAAAAGCTCGAACACGGATATTAATCAATATTGAATTGCTAGCAGTAGAATTTTTTTTAAAAAGGTCACGCACACATTTTCATATTGGACACCAAGAGCGGCACTGCATTCACTGCCAATCGTTATATAATGTGCCAATCGCATCGCCTGAAGCTCTGGGATGGAGACATCCACCACCTGCAGTCAGGCCGGAAGTAATTACACTCAATCTCAACCAAACCTTGCTGGATGCCCCTTACCAGACATCCAACTTCTGTACGTTGCGGCCTGAGTTCCTGCGGTGATTCATAGCATACCACAACGTAAAATGGCATACCAGACCTTGAATTCACGATAACAAAGTTTTTTCTTAAGGCTTCAAGGCACTTACTTTACATCCGTAGGTACCCTGTACTAGCTGTAAGGCTTTATCACAAATACGTCCGACGGGATCGTCGGTGTCGTTAAACCACTGCTCGAAACCCCCCCTCCCAGACAATTTCAAAATATATGCAAACCTCTTAAGTTTCGATTCTCACATATTTGAACATACAGAAGCTTATAACAAAAGCTGTGGTTCACCTTAGGAAATTTTGCAAACTTCACATCGCCAATCAACTTCGCCATGTTCGTTGACTCCGTTTGAGAGTCATTCAGAAGAGGTAAAGTTGCGGGAGGCTAGTGTCATGCGAACAAACAGTCGAAGGCGGGATCAAAACTTTCATTTGCAGGGGGAGAGATTACACGCAACCATTATAAAGAGGTGATTCGAGGGAAGACGAGACTAATCCCACTTCGCTGGTACTTGTTTGCGAAAAAGAGAACTTACAGGAAACGACAAAAGTTTGTCGGAGGGGAGGTGCCCTTGCTTAGCTGCATATCTGCAGAAGCATACATTTGGATCGTCAGAACCGATCTATTGGCAATATTTTGTAAGGGATAATTAACTAGAGAGTTTTGAAGGGTGACTAACTGATTTACGTACATAATATAGGCGTCCTCCACAGAACCCGTGAGAGTTCCTAACATTCCTATTGTCCAGTTTAAAGGCAAAAGACTGCACCCACCACCGTCATGGTTATGTGATGCAATTAGAACACGAACCGTAAGCTAATAAATAGTCAAGATTAACTCCTGTTTCACTGCAATTTGATTTCAATCAGAATTGTGTTCCCGATCTGAAGGGCAATTTGTTACGACATTAAATTCAAAGAGCAGAAGAACGCACCCAGATTTAGTTATTCGGCCAAAAGTCGGCTTGAGGCCCACTATCCCACACAAACTGGCCGGCATTCGCACGGAGCCTGCACAATTTCATTAGATATCATCTCGGATAGGTAACTGGCAACGCTCTCAGAATATGCCATCTCCTCTATGTGCTCTGAAGAAGGGAGAGAAAAGTTTAAGAAAACGAGCGAATACCTCCTCCGTCCACACCCAATGCGATTGGACAAAGGCCAGCAGCCACAGTTGCAGCAGATCCCCCTGATGAACCTCCCGAGATCCTCGTTCTGTCATGGGGATTACGAGTAGTCCTGCATGCAACACAACGTGTGAGCTCCACTTCACGATCTTGAATCAACGTACAGGGGCAGAGGTAGACCCACGAAAGATTTCGTACATACCCATAATGAGGATTGATCCCGGTGGTACCAGCACCTAGCTCGTGCATGTTGGTATTGCCAACCATAATCGCTCCACATTCCCGCAAGCGCTTCACAACCGCAGCGTCCTCTGTCACTTGTCTTGTTTTGTCAAGCCATGTGCATCCTCCTGCAAATCGTTACAACAAACCAACCAATCCAACGAATTAGCTGAATCGGAAACGCAAATGGCAATGCCGATGTCTGATAGAAGACTGTGCATTACATAAAGTTGCTGCGAGATTTGGGTCCACGGTGACAATAGGTAGAATCGAGATTGAATGTCATAACTAGAAATTATGTCAAGTTGTTCATGCCAGTGGTGGGGTAAGGAAGACAGTCAATCTCGTCTTTCACCGCAATCAGGATTCCATCCAGCACAGATAATTGCCCTCCTGCGAAAGATACACAAGATTTACACTGAGAAATCATCATACAAACATGATATTGCAATTACCTGAAAATCGTACGTAACGTTTTCTTGAACCGCTTAAGGTGTGGATAATTGCACAGAAAACTACAGTATTATTGTCACATCACTTCTGAGGTGCAGAAAATATGTTGCAATAAATCGATACCTTCACGGTATCGTTCCGTTGAGGCTGCAGCTTGGGACAGAACGTTTTGTGCGTCCAGAGGAATAAACAGATTCAATGCAGGTGACATCTTCTGCGTTTCCTCTACTGCCGCGAGGAATCTTTCTGCCACCTACATGAAGAGAGGGGTCAATTCTTTTTTCCGACATCGATTAAATGGAGCTAGAAAATCAGCCTGTAGCATGCCACTAATTCATGCACCTGTGTTGGAGTAAACCTCCCCGATGAGTACGCATGCGCGTAATCACGAACTGTCGCGTACTGAAACTTTTGGGCGTCGATGTGGTCGTGATTTCCGCCATTAATTGAAGGTTTCGGTACGTATGGAGGTAGGCATCTCACAGCTACTGCCACACGCTGGGGAGCTGTGGATCCAGTCGGCAGAACTTCCACCATTTTCTCCTCCACTTGCTTCTCTGCAAGCAACTCAGGTGCACAACGATGTTGAGAGGTGAAGTTGGCCGAACCACGGAGCGGAATGTATCCCAGAGGTGCTCAAGAAGAGCGCAGTCCAAATGAGGGGAGATTGCACCAAGATATTGCGGTGAGTACATGGGTGGCTCGGAATACTGCGTCTTCTGGAATATCTGAATGACAGCAAACGTCCTCCCATCACATGACAGAATGAACATCTTTCAACACTGAGACACTGTAGCGAGAAGAAAAATGAGTAGAAAGCAGCAAGGCTGCTTACTTCGGTAATGAGATTCGCCTTCCTCATGTACGCAAGAATGAGGGCATTTGTCATCCTCATCTCGAGGAGCCAACAGAAGCACTTGAGAGAGAACCCAGCCAGCCTAGGAGCTACACAGACACAAGAGAAATTTCCACTCACAGAGTATTCTCTTCCGAAAAACTTCAGGCGCATGAGGTTCGATTAAATCTACTATATGTTCGGCACTAAACTTTTGAAAAAGTAAACTAGGTACATTCTTAGAGCATACATACTTGGACTCTTTCTGGTACTCAGAAATTTAATACTCAATCGAATGTAGAACCCTATTTTAACCCGCAGAGAACTAGAACTTACGTAGTTGGAAACAGTTGCCCGAGTTACTTCATGTGAAAATTCTCACACCCTCTCTCTAGCGAAAGCAGAACCTTGGCGTCGCTAACATGTTCACACTTCTATTTCAGCGGCCCTCACAGTTTGTTGCAAACTGGAAGCAGTTTGGGGTGCATTTCGCAGCATTGGGATCTCAGTCGTTTCCTGGTTTAGCTATCATCCCAGATGCTCATCCTCGTCGTCTGTCTGTTACGTTTCCTCTCACACTGCATCGCTTAACTGTGTGACTCCGTTGCTAAGTGCTATGAATCCGTCGTATTGCAGTCACTATAAAGTCTTCATCCTTGCTCTCGCTCAAGAAACGACGTAGCGTTTCGAAAAATATTCTTGCATTGGTGGTGTGCGTGAGTGAGTCTCTGCGTTGTGGAGTTGGAAATCAGAACTGTGTTGCGTTTGTTCGAGACTGTCGACGCGCCTGCCAAGAGAGGGTGCTTTCCGGAGACTGTTGGCGATGAGTCTCAATGATGTATGGACTCATACTACACCATGTTTGAAGCTCTTGTTTGTTTGCATGAGGTGGTAGCTGGTCTCTTCTGGCTGGACTGGTTTCTTTATAGCTTTCGATGATCAGGCTAGTGGCTGATGACCACCGTATGAGAATGATGACAAAGATAATTAAGCATAATGTTTTTGAGCAGAGTGCTCGAAGAGTTGCACGACGTTTTTGCTTCTATAGAGGAATATTGAGTTTGTCTCTTGGAAACGCATTTCCTTATCTAACATATTCTTGCCATTGTATCGCATGGCATGATCTGTAAGCTGCAAGGCTATTTCTATGGAAACCCATATGTAAGCTGACATGTTTTTTTCCAACATGAACAGGTGTTTGCTTTGCGCGGTGAGCCTGGGTGGATGAACCAGCGCCAAAGTCCTTACGGATTTGGAGGGAATTCACCGGTACAGTCTTAATTGCTATGCTTCTCCCTTAGTGAGAATATTTCAGCTTCACTTTGGGCTTGTACTGCGGGTCCTAGTAACTCATGATTCCGGTGACAAAATGGTTTCATCTTTGGCAAAGGAAATCATTAAGTGTCTAACAAGAGATACTCGAACCTTTTGTGCATTTTCTATATTCTAATACGGCTGTTGGTGATCACGCAGAGGACGGAAATGAGAGTCGTCATATGCTGCAACAAATGCGAGGAAAAAGTTCGGGAGGAAATCAGTGAAGTGTATGGTGAGTGCTCTGTGCGCCTTGAATTCTTGCCCTTGGCTGACTGTCAACTCGTGATGTCAGCCCGGTTTCAGTAGCAAATTGGGATCCTTATAGGTAGGCTTTCACACAGGATCTGCTTGGTGTAGGTGTTGAAGAGATTTTCATAGATCCAACACGTTCGGAGGTTGTTGTATATGGCTATGCGGACAAGCACGATGTCCTGAAGAAGGCGAGGAAGGTGGACAAAAGAGCGGACATAATGTCGTCCGATTCATTCACACTTCACCATGATAGACACAGTAAACATCACAAGCACCACAAAAACAGGTTCAGCAATTTCTTCGGTCAAAGCCACGGCCACAGCAACTACAGCAGAGGAAAGCACATGCCGATATTTGAAGTGACTGGTAGTCCCCGCTACAACACCAGCTTAAACCAGTCCAGCTCTTATGACAACCGCTTCAACCGCCTTGATGGTGGTTACGACATGCCCGACTACCGATCGAGGCAAACAAGAGAGTTCAGACTCGATTACAGGCCCGATCCTATGTACAGGCAGATGCACAGTGGCTACCGATCTGAGCCAGAGACAAGACATCGGTACAACGGTTATGGATCTAGCGAATACCGACACGAACACGACCACGGATATGAATACAATGGATACAGGCCAAACCAGAGATATCCTCAGAGCTATGTTGAAAGAGAGGACCGAGACTCTCCATATCCGGAGGCCGTCATGAACCCCGCCTACATCAAGCAGATGGGCTACTACTGATTTCTAAAATTCTTCGCCATGCGAGTTTCAGAGTCTTGTACAACAGGGAAGGTGTATAAAGCGACATATATAGGGAGCACACACACACTCACACAAGAAAAGAGTTAAGAAGTTTGTGATGCTATGAGGTCCAGAACTTGCGGACAGAACAGCCATGGCAGTATTTCTTTTTTGTCTTATACTCTTATGTGCTTAGGCTGGAATATCATGCTGTCCATAAACTTAGAAAGAAAAAAAAAAAAAAAAAAAAAAAAAAATGTCGGATTAGGTATCCAATGGGAGGTAGAGTCCAAGTTTGTTGATTATTTGCTCGAAGCTGGAACCTGTTACATGCCCCTAGAGGTCAAAGGTTGGCTCGGCTTCTGATTTTGTACTTGCTAACTTGAAACCATACCCGGAAATACTAAAAATTGTACATCAAGTAGACTTCATGTATGCTGCTTCTTGAATGGAGAGTTGCTAAAGTTGATTAAGACCAGTTGCTTTTTTCTTGCGTTGCCTGCCACAAAGTGAATTTGGTTCTATCATGCTCTTTGGATGTTGAAAAGCTGTGTGATCCAGGGCTTCAGTCGATTACAACCGCATGTGTTGAAGATCTTACTGATTTTATGTTGCTCATGTTCAATTCTAGTGGCCACATTCCTTGCTGGGTATTACTTTTTTCCTATTCTGGTTAAATTCTGAGTAACTCACTAACGTCACTCAGAAACCTATTTATTACAACATATACATGCTACATGTACTGAATGTACTGAAGATATCTTTCCTCAACTCCATTGTACTGCTCAGATTATCTTAACAAAATTGGTCCATCTTACGTGATAAGATTATTCAGAAGTTGAAAGACCCTGAAAAGATGGACCAAATAAGAATTTTCTCTCACTCACATTTGCTGATGCAGTTGTAGTAAGTCATGACTAAGTTGTGATGCCTAACGCATTTAGACTTTGCATATCGTTTCCAAGTTTTATTTTATTTCTAACCATAATAAAAATACAAGGAAATGAATTGTGAAATGGTCATATACAAGGTGTTATCAAGTTGGATTTGGAATTTGATTCATGTGTCTACAATCCATATTCAAATTACAATTTGTTCAATGAGGAGAACACTAGGAATAGATTACAAATGTGCTAGAAATTAGAAAATGAACATATTTTATTAAACACTTGGATAACTCAAAAGCACTTGAATTAAAAAAAAAATACACTAAAAAAAATTAAAAGAATTAAAAATGCATATACATATATAGATATAAATTTGTATTCTAAATAAGAAAATTTAAAAATAAAACTTCTACATAATTTAAAAAATATATCAAATCAAATACAATAAATATTTTAAAATAAAATAAAAATAGTACTAATTTTCTTCAATTTTTTTGGTATTACCAATTTATCTTTTATTGTGTATTTTTAATCTAAAATTTATTGTAAGTTACAATTAATAGTTTTTAAAAGAAAATTTCGAAAATATTTTATTAAGTTATTTTAGAAGGTTTACATAATAATTTAAAACTTCTTAAACTTTTCACGTACATATTGTAATTTTTAACCTATAATACTTCTTAGAGCTTTTTTCAAGCTTCAAGAACGTCTTATATAATTTTATTATTTTTTTGTTGATTCTTACAAAACTCTGGAACCTTCTATAGTCTTCTGTAAGCTTTTTTATTTTTATTTTATAATCATTTAGAATCTTTTTTTATTATTTTTAAAGTTTTTATAGAATATTTTAAGCTTTTAATATTTTTTAAACTTCTAGAGGACCTAGTTATTATGTTATAAACAAAAAGTAAGTTAAAGACTATTTTAGTCTTATCAAATTTTTTCTGTTGAAGTAAAAAAAAATACACACACACAAATATATATATATATATATATATATATATTTATTTATTTATTTATTTATTTATTTATTTATATTTTTTTTTCCTCTTACATATAATCTTGTTTTAATCTAGTGTTTTTTTTTTTCTTGTACTTCTTGGTTTCTTTAATACTTGTTCTTCTTGCTTCTTTAATAATCCTATAATATATATATATATATATATATATATATATATACATTTTTCAAGACAATAAATTAATAGACTTTTTAAAAAAGATTTTGAATTCTTTTTTCTTTTTATATATTTTTTTCAAAATTTTTAAGATAAAAATATATTATTTTTGGATCTAGTATTTAAACTAATTAAGAAATAAATTAATATAAAAGTATGAACTATTTCTTAAAGTTAATGTGTTTAAATGGATTGCTGTTGAATGCAACTACTTACATGCATTTAATAAAAAGATTATTCGATGTCTAAATTATTAAAAATAAAATAAAAATAAAATAAAAAATCTTTATACCCTAGATAAGACCTTCATCAATCAAAGATAGATATTTTATTTGAGATTTATAAACTTATTTAGGATTTTTATAAAAGATTATTATAAACTGAAGCCTTGCTAATAAAATTAATAAAATGATCATATGAAGAATAATAAATTTAAAAAATTAAAATAAATATTAATTTATTTATTTTATACAAATTTTAATTTTATTTAAAAATATAAACTCTATTTATTTAGGAAAATTTACTTTTAATTTTAAAATTTTAAAAAATATTCTAATATAAATGGTAAATTTGATCTTCTTTGCAAATAATTCTCTCTCTCTCTCTCTCTCTCTCTCTCTCTCTCATATATATATATATATATATATATATATATATATTCTTTTTGCAAAGAATAATAAAATAATTTAGATCAAGGAGATTTAGAATCGATTTTAAGTTTTGAAGAATAATTTATTCATTTATAAGACTTAATATTCAATAAAATTATATATAAATAAAATAATTTTGAATATTTCATTAATGTTCAAATCTTATATCAATAATAAATTATATATAGTATAATAAAATTTATTATTATTTTTATTTATTATATTATATTAAATAAATAATTAAAAAAATATCATTACATAATATATTCATCTATCACTATGATAGAAGAAGATAATAGAAAGAAAAGATATAGCTAATAGGTTAAAATAAGTGAAAATAGATATTTAAAATTATATTAAATTAGAAAATACAAAACCAAGCTTAGAATACAAGAAAGGCATTTAGAAGATTAAAGATATTTCCAATCTAACCTCTTTGCATATATTTTTAATAAATAGACTATGTAAAAGCTTTTGAAATATAATATTTAAATATATATTTAAATATTAAGTATTTTTTTGATAAATTTTGATAGAGCAAAGACTATTTTCTTATTTATTTATGATACAATAATATAAATATAATTAAATGTTATCAAACTTTACTAAAAGAACAACTCTTAGTTTTCTAATTAATACAATTATATTTATGTAAATTATTTGAGAGAATGCAAATATAGAAGAAGCTATGAATTTATTTAATTATTCATTCTTATTGTTTATTGAGATGATAGGCAAAGTTGATGCATAGTAATTTTTTATTTTTACAATTATAATTTTTATCTATGCTATGAAATTTTATTATTGCTATTTGTTTTGCAATGATTTAAAATTTAAAAATATTTATATACAAGTTATAATTAATATAAATTTTTATAATAAAAATAATTTTAATATTGAAGAAATTTATCCACGACTTATTAATTACTATAATATTTTTATATTTAAAGAAATATATATAATATTTATTCAAAAAGATCAAAATTTTGATATTGTAAATGTTAGTCTTTTTAAATTCTTGAGGACATAAATCTTTATACAAATCTATGAAAAAAATATACTCATATATATTATGGACATAACTATCACTATTAATTATGTTTATAAGAGAATTTAGATAGAAATAAGTAAAAGTAATAAAATTTGATAATATCTTTAAAAAAAGATTCATAGATATGGATTTGATTTTACATATGTCTCTAGATAATTAATAGGTTAAAAAATTGGTCAATAAGTTGGATACACATTACACATATTGGCTATTTGTTGTAGAAGTTGGCTATGTGATACACATATAAAACCTGCATTAGAAGTTAGACACATGTTAGATGTCCTATAAAATAGAGAACTAAATAGCTTCTAGTTAGATAGTATATGTATAGAGGCAAGAGTGAGGCCTTCTACACTCTTATCAATGCCTTTCTTGTTTAAGAATCTTTAGTCTTCTTGTCTTTGACAGAAGTCATTCTACTCTTAATATTATACCATCATTTAGTGCTTATCTATTCTTTTCTTGTAATACAATATTTCATTGATTTATTGGTTTTTTTTATTCGTGTCCTTGAAAATTTAATAAGAATACTAATTCATTATTCTTGTTTTATTTTAGAAGTGAGTGGATTACATCACTTCTTTTATTATGTTTTGAAGATTACAAACTATCTATCTTTATAATAATATTTTTATATTTTTATATTTTGATTATTTTTTTTAAAAAGAAAAAATTATTTTTCTCTATAAAATAATTTATTTAATATTAGAGATTGCTAATTGCTTTTCTTTAATTTAATTTGTTGATTTGTTAAAGTTGTCTATCATAGAAATATAAAGAAAAATTATAGATGTTACACTCAATAAAAATATGAATAGATTTTTAACTATTGCAAATCTTTAATAATATTTTTAATATTCTTAGGACAAAAATTTCACATATTATTAATGTCAACTATGAAAGTATTATTCTTACATGTGTAAAAAAAAATCAATAATGAAGTTTAATATCTATGCCAAGCAGTTGTGTGGTTGAGAGAACAAGTTAATCAACCTTATAATTGAATTTAAAAAGTCATGCTACTACAAGTATGAAAGAAACAAAGATTAATATATAGGAGAATTTTTATAGAATAAGATTAAAATTTTGAGAGTTTCAATAAAAAATCAAGCTACATCTAAGGTAGCATCCCTCTCAATATTATGATGGATTTACTCAAGTTGAATTAATAGGCATGCTTCTATCTAAAATTATTCTTTTTAATTTGTATCTTTGATAAAAAAAAGAAAAAAAAAAAAGAAAGATTCACAAATCTTATATAATCTAAATTAATTATTGGAAGAGTTTATGGCCACTTTTTTAAAAAATGATTAAAAAATGGTAGTAGATATTGAAGAAAAGAAGTCTAAGAGCTACAAACACTTAGCATCAACAAGGATTGTAGTTTAAGAGAAGTGTGGAAAAAGATGTCTCTTACTTCCAACACCTTTTACTTATAGGTGGAGTTTATATCCCAAGTATATAGACTTCATCCAAAGTCACGTTCATCCTTTC